ATAATTCAATTTCTTATAATAATATAATAATAATATTTCAGAAGGCAATATCCAAATGCCTTAACAGACGCTTTGGGCTGATGGGCGCATTTAAGTGCTTTACCCTTGCGACACACTCTGGCCGCAGAGAAACCCAAATAATTGTAGAAAAGTTAAAATGTATGGGTATATATATTTTAAGATATATATTGTTATATATTATATATTGTTTTTATGTGCCTATGTGACAATAGCTATATTTTTAAATAATATTAGGCTTTAAAATAATCTATATATTTTATGTAGAAACTGCGCTGTCCAATTGTAATACCCTATAAAAAGCAACAGCAGCCTGATTTCTCTTTTAAAAACTAGTTTTGTGTTATTATTTTATTGCCTTAAAACAATTCAATGCCAACTTCAATCGAGTTAATGACGCACAATTGTCGGCGACACGCAAATCTCCCAAGAACAATTCAAATGTCATAAAAAGGAAAAAAAAAAAATGAACAAATAAAATAGACAAGCCATAAAGCAATATAAAAACGTATAGTATGGATAATGAGGGAGCTGAATAAAATTGCAAATTGCGCTTGGTTCGTATTCCGTGTTTCATAATTATATGAGCAACAGGTAGCAGGCGTGCAAAGACTTTGGGATATCAGATAGATAGATAGGTCTGTATATCATCTATAGATATACATACGGAAATTGAGTTAAATACAAATTTATATGGGTAAATAAATAAGCCACGTGTAAACACACCTCAAACACTTTGCATATATACATATGTATATAGAATACAAGCAATACCAAAATAGCTATAGAATTGCAAACAGATGAAAAGTCTTATTTTTAGTACAGTGCACATTGAACCGGCCTCTTGACTCTTACATAATGCACATTGACTGGTTATTCAAAATATTGCCCCTCTGGCAAACTTTGTGGATTGCCATTGTTTCAAGCTTTGTGGAGATTCGTAGCGTTTTAAAATCATTTTCAGCTTATTTTCTTTTGTAAATTTATAAAAATAGCTACAGCTGCCTCTTTTTGTCTAAAAAATACCTTAGCAAAAAATTTAATTTCTTAAGAAATCTGGCTACTTTGACTGCGAATTAAACGATTAAATAAACAAAACGATGTCTGTGTATTTATTTGATCATTCGTATATACATACGTAGGTACATACGCACATATGTATGTACATATATACGCTTGAGTATATAGGAAATCATACCTCAGACACACTTGCCTTAATTTATTAGTAAGCATCTGCACTCAGAATCGCGAGACAAAACAAAAGAAAGTTGCCGCAAAGCCACACAAACAAACCAAACACACACACACACACACATGCAGACAATAACGGCACCAGGAAGCAGCCACTGACGGATTACACATGTGCAGTCAATGAAAGAGAATGAGTGGAAGTGGGAGGCGCACATAGACTGCAAATAACTATGCAGCATTTTCTATTTCATTCATACACTAGCAGTCTTTTGGTCTACTCTTCTTCAATGCTGTTTTACTGCTGCTTAAACGTAACGTTATTTACGAGCTTCACCAGGCAAGAGTAGGCAAACAACAAAGAAGTGTGTTAATGAACACTGCAAAAAAAAGGCAGAAAAGAAATTGCAATAACAACAACACTGACGAGGCAACCGGAAAGTGAAGCAACTTGAAAAACTGCTTCATTTTATTTGTTTAATATACACACATGCATATATGCATATGTATCTATGTATACATTTAAGTGCAAAACAAAGCGAGAAAGAGCGCGCGCGAAAGGGTGGAACAAAAATTAATTCCACGAGACATTACTGTGTGCATTTCCAGTGGCTTATGTGCAGATATATATGTGAATAGATACATAAATAAATATATTTATATATGTATGTATATAACTGCAATTAATTGATTGCATTGTAGTGCAGCAAGCGTAGAAATTTTAAATTAAAAGCACATGAAAATTGCACTATAAAAATTTGGTAAAACTGGAGTAAATGATAAATGGAAAATGGGAAGCAACCGCAGAGATTTCAGCCATGCTTCGCCGCGTTAAAATCAAATGCATGCATGTTTGGGGCATATTAGTTTGGAATGAGACCTAAATTGTGGGTAGTCCCCCCTATGAGTTGACCGTATAATATTGTTAGATAATCGTAGATGTATCTTATCTAACTGTATTTTGTATAGTATTTGCAGTTTATTGAGGGGATTTACTAAAGAGCATTTATATACATATGTAAGTAAATAATTATACAAAATATATACATATGTACATATATGTATGATATTCATTTGTTTGCATCAATTGTCAGTCATTTCAGATGCTGGCACAGTGAGCCCTCGCTAGATTTTCTTTTCAAAAACTCAAGTTAATTGTTTCTAATTTCACTCAATACATTTTCCTACATACTTTAAACACAGGCTGTTCAGCGAGGCAATCAAAACGTCAAGCGGATTGATGGATTGACGTACGATTGCATCTGAGAGCAAAAAGAGAGCGGACGGGAGGTATCCAACACTTAAATAAACCAAGTCGTATCGTGGGGGGAGAGAGAGAGAGAGAGAGAGAGAGAGAGAAATTCGTTATTTTTAAAACAATCTAAAATGAACACGAAACATAACGGGACATTTTACACTTCCAGGCAACCGCAGCGGCATCGCCGTGTTGCGCATCAGACGATTGAGATTTGTTGTACGCCTAAATTTAGAATTCGATGAATTCGTACTGGGAAATTTTGTTTCATTTTGAGTGATGTTTTTATTGCTAAAAATAACCAAAGTGTAATTGGAATTCAATTTTCATCTGAAAACGGTAGTTACCTAATTAGACCTGAGCTGGTTTCTTTATGAAATAGAAGTGTTTTCAATTGAAAATTCCGGTTTATTATTTATCTAATTAGACATGAACTGTTTATATTAAATAGAAGGGTACTCCATTGGAAATTCCAGTTTATTTTTCCAGCGAAACAACAACAAAAATTCCCAGTCAATGCGGCCATATTCAAAGTCGCCTGAGAGAATTACATATGAGCACACACCCACACATATATATGCATATATAATATATAAGTACATACATACATATATATATATATATATATATATATATATATATATATATATATGTATGTATGTACTATATATATATATATATATATATATATATATATATATATATATATATATATATATATATAGATATATATATATATTTATGAAAATCAAGAACAGAATCAAAATTATACGTAGTACGTAATTTACAACACGAACTTATACTGACGGTCGCTACTGTTGTTGTATTTGTATTTGTTTTTGATTGCGTTTGTGTTTGTATGCTGTATAAAGCAAGTGTTGTGTTCCGCACATGTTGCCAATTCGTATAGTGTGGGTAATGTATGCAGTTTTTTTTTCACATGTTAATGCAACCGTCTGTGCATTTGTGTTGGTAAATGCTGATTTTACAGCGGCTGTTTTCCAACTTCTGCCAACGTCAGCGAATTAATCATACAAACCCCACTGCCAGGCAATTACAATACCCAACTACGAATGAGGAAAATGAAAAAAAAAAAAAAAAAAAAAAACTACGGTTAAAACGCAGCTGGTCGTGTGTGTGTGTGTGTGAAGGAGAGGGCGAGTCTCTCAGGCAGCCAGGGCCAAAGCAACGAGCACATCGATGACGTCAGAAGCGCAGCTCACTGCTGCTGTCAGCCTCGCGCTGCGCTGACACCATTCCCGCTATTGCTCAATTAATTACAGGTCTACTTCATTGTTTCTCTACTTTGTTTCTTTTGTCATATACATATATAATGTCACATTTGAAATGATAAGGCTCACTATCAACATAAATAGAGAACTATGTATGTCTCAGCATGTCTATGTCTTTGTGTGTGAGTGCGGGTAATGTAAATTAGGTTATCAGAGTTATTATTGCTTTTTTTATTCTTTCCGTTTGCATACGCACCTTTGGTTTGTTTAGCCACTTGCGAAATGTATCCATGGTCTAGCCGTCCCGTTCCGTTACTGTCAGCTTAACAGCTGTTAGAACGTTCGTCCAGCCACCGTCTCACTCCTGCGCCTGTCTGCCCCACACTGTTGACAATTAATCAGTGTACGGAGAAGGCTGTCAAATGAATAACTGACGTCGCTTTGCTCCAATAGATGGCGTCGTTGTCGTCCTTGCCCAACGCGCGCGACTCAACGCACACAACAATAACATAAACGAAATGGCGCGTATGACAAAATCCCAAGCAAAACAAAAGCAAAAATGCAAGAGAGCACAGAAACTATAGGTCTGTCGTCTGTCTGTGGGGCTGTGTATGCGTACGTGCGTGTGCCTCTCAATATGTACTCGGGTTCTATTTGCTGCTTGGCCACACTATGTTCAATACAAGTTCATATGCATGCGTCTCTCTGCTTGGCTCTGTACGTGTTGTGTGTATGTGTGTGTATTTGTGCGCTACTGTTGCATTCGCGTTGTTGAATTTTCACTTTTTGGGCATTTTTAAAATGCACTTTATCGAATTTTACAATTTATGTATAATTTGAAATTGCTTCGTCTCATGCTTTTGTTTCAATTTTTTGTTATAACTTTCCAAGTGCTATATTTATTTTTATTATTATTTATTTTTTATTTATTTTTTTTCTTTTTGTTAAATGCCTTTTGCACTGTGCTTCGCTTTGACTCTGCTTCGTGTATTCATATACGGTTTGCCTTCAACACACACACACGCGTGACTATTGCGTGCTCTTTCACCACTCATATATCACTTAAACTGCATTTCTTTATGTGGAAATTGCGTCGATTTGTTAAAATTCTTAAAATATATTGAAACGGTTACAGAACACAGTTGGAAAATTGAATTTTCTATTGGCGAAAAAACCATTCAACTCGCGCAACACTTATCCGCCCCTTCCGACGACACAAGCGAATCGTGTACGTTGCGTTCAAAGATTTTTTTTCGACTAAAATCTGTTAAGTTTCTTTTTGTTATTAAAATCATGTAAATGCGATGTTAACATGGTAACAGTAGCATCGATATATTATTCGATAATATCATCGATACTTATTTTTATTGCAATTGGTATGCTGTTCATATTTAACATTTCCAGAAAACTGTTGTGTGATTATAAATATATTTTTAATTTTTCACTCACAGAGTGTTATTAAATTTATGTTTGCTTGATCCAACGCTAGAATAGAAAATAATGTATGGTATAATATTTGTTGTAAAATAACAGAATGTTAACGTGCTCTTACCTGCGTTCGCGATCTCAATGATGCGCTATGGGCTGCCACTCACCAGGGCATTTTTATCACGTTTTTTTTTTCATCTGATAGGCTGCCATATTTGAATAATAACTAGCAGCTTATATATAAAAAAAAAATATTAAAATAAGCTTTTAATAGTTTAATTTAGCATACTATAAAAATGTTGTTATGTAAAATATAGCAGTTAACTTACATTGTTCACAACAACTATATATTATTTCAGGCACACAAAAGTATTACCGAAAATCATTTCAATTTTAAATTTTGCCAGAAATTGCATAGAGCTACCAGATCAGGTAATTAAGCACATTCGTTACAATAGATGGCAGTCTTTCAGTAGGTAACCTTGAGATATTAATAACACAAATAAATTTGAGAGGCTTCAATTACATTTATTTTAATGTGCAAAGAAAGTTATATATATTCTGATAACCTGTGTAAATGTTAAATTTGAGCCCAAACAAATATCAAAAATATAGTTGTGTAGGTGAAGAGCTTAGCACCGATACTATGGTTCAAGTGCCAGTCCGTTGCTTTACTGAATTCGCCCGAAATTTGAATCGCTATGAGAGTTGCCGTATCAAGAGAGAGTGAACGAATCAGCACTATGTTGAGGCGCGCAAATTCTAAAATGCTTTTATAACTAATGCGTTTGTTAATTTTATTTTAAGTGCAAATGTGTGTGCAAAATGCTATGCTAATGATGTTTTCTATTATTTTTGGTATTCGAATTACTGCAAGGCAATGCGTCGGAAGTGATTGTTGAGCGGGCCCTCGTCCGAGTAGCCGGCAATCTCCTGCGGAATGATTCCCGACTCTTCGATCGAAGTGCATGGTCGGCACATGCACTCCAATGGAGCCTTGGTGAGAACCTTCTTGAACTTGCGCTCACCATGTTTGACCTTGGGACAGAAGAGCGAGACGGCTGCCTCGCGCTCGCCCGACTCCTGGCAGCACATACAGGAGCGCTCCATTTGCCAAATTTTGCTTCCCGAGACCTAAGCAGAGGTCGATGGTGTAAAGAAATATGGTTATACATATATAGCATGGATCGACTCACCTGTATATAGCTGGCACAGCGACCTACACAGGCGAAGGAGGGTATTGGCTTGGGCACACAGCCGGGATATTGCAGGACATGGATGACGGGCGTCACCTGACAGTCGTCGCCCAGATGCCCAATATCTGCAAAGACAAAACCAGACCTCGCTTAGCTTAAATATGAGCTAAACGACCGTTTGCGTACCATTATCAGTGGCAGTCGCCGTACCCTCCGACTGGGCCATGCACAGCTTCAGCAGGCTAACCAGAACGCAGTACAACAATATGAGCACGAATATCTTGTTCTCGTGGCGTAGCACATGGCGCAGCATTTTTCTCTAGCTCAGTTTTAGCCTCAGTCAAGTCCAGGTCGCGACGCCTCCGGATGGAAAACGCTTTCAGCCGACTGATGCCTCTTATATATGTGGCCCGTAGCCGGCCGCAGCTGCAGCCCTAATGTCCCGGCCAGCCAGGACTCATGACTTATGGCCCAATAAAGCGACGCGGCCAGCAGCAACCTTTTTGCCTAGTAATTGCATACACGAAAATCACATTTGTCCCGCTGCGCCATTTACTCGAGCCCCAACGCTCGTGTGGCACGGCATAAACAAAAATCCAATCAAAGCGGACCTCATCATCCCCATCAACATCAGTCAATTCCATCACTCTGGGCCAGCAAGTCCATCGGGTGCAGTTAGAGTAGAGCTCTGCTCATAGAGCTGCGCTAGGCCAAAAATCTGTAGGTCCGTACAGTTATTTTATTAGCTAGAACAACATCGATCGATTCATATTCTTCGATGTCTTCGATATTCTTCGATCTCTGACAAGCGTAACGCCAGACCGAAACCAAAAGAGCCTTATAAACGAATCATATATATAAAAGACCTAGGGATAAATCTATCGATGCGTCTGCCTATTAGCTATTGTTGCAAGTAGAGGTGCACATATATGTGATTTTTCAGAGATAAGCGAAGTCGTTGTTGCCATTAGAAGATATGAAAATATAACGTTATAAATCTTTGCCATTATCACAAAAAATGAGGTTCAATTTATTATGGTTTTAGCTATCGGCAAACCATCGGCTAAGACTGATAAGGTGAATCTCAATTGACTTATTATTTGTGACACTGACAGTGCGCTCGATTGCAAATCCTATCGAAACAACAAAATCAAAATGGTAGACAGCACTAACGCCAATGATGAAGCCATTGCCAATCCACCAGCTCCATTTCTCTGGGCTAGGAAATTCACCAACTTGCCCAAGCGCTGCTCCGCCCATTGCACGTTCGCCTCTACTTTGGTCAGTGCCTGGTTGAGTGTTTCCGCGGAACTGCCGAAGGATGTGTGGCTTTGCTTGTAGAAGTTAGAAAAGAGCTGCTGCTGCTCCCGAGTGGTGAAGTACTCCGCCATGTCGCTCAGAGCCTGAGCGGTCTTTGCCCAGTTGAAGCCCAAGCTGTAATATAGAGTATAGAATATAGAATATACAAGTGAATTACTTTAGCTAGCTCTAGATATAACCCATCGAGCAACTTACGCATCGTTCAGCTGTGAAATGTTCTCGGTTACCATTTGGAAGATGGGCGTCACCAGGTCCGGATTCTGTTCATAGAGCTGCGCTAGGCCAACCATCTTGAGGTCCACGCTGTTGCCCTGGCCCAAGATCTGGTTCTGGTAGTGCGTCCGATAGTCCCTGGTACAGCTGGCGGCGCGCCAGTAGATCTCTCGATCTATGTAGTTGGTTTCCTTCTTATATAGCTCCAAGACTCGATCGTACCCATCTGTTCTGGCGGCTGCACAGTAAAAGGTCTCCCGATAGTCTGGCGATGGCTTTTCTGAGCCATTGAACTTCTCCAGCACCTGCGCAGTGCAATTGGAGGTTTGGTACTTGCAGAGCCATGACACCTGCTGGTTGCGGTTGTAGACATCCAACACCTTGTCGCTGGCACTCCAACTCACGCCCAGCTTGGCGTGCACCGCCTCTGTGATGTCGCTGAGATACTTCTTGAAATTGGGCAACTGCTGTGGAGTCAGTCGCCTCGCCACCTTCTCCAATCCCACGTAGGCAGCATACCAGGGAATATAGTCGGTTTCTGTGCTCATGTACTCCATGAACTCGAATACCTCGACGTAGTCAATTATTTGTGCGAGGGCGATGTTGAACAAGTCATCAATGATCGCGGCACGATTCTCATTGGGTATTCCACTGTGGCCGCTCTTTGTTAGAACCTTTTGAATGTTACCGAGCAGTGGTTGCTCGTACCTAACTCGATGATAGTTGGCCTGCTTCAGATTGACAATGACCCAGTCGATGGGCTCATCTGACCAGCGTTGATATATGTCAACTAGTTTTGCAAAGAAAAAAGCAGGCGTCGAATTTGTGAAATTAGGAGCCAAATTCGTAGTGTAGGTGATGGGCACCGTGTAAGTCAATTTGCTGTCACTGCCATCTGTATCATTCAGCAGGAAACGTTGCTGATAGAAATTGATCTGATGGCCACTATAGGAGAGGCTCACCGTGACCAACGGGTAGCCAACCTGAACAGTGAAGTCATAAAAGAATTGATTCAAATTGACATATATCTGGTCAGGCCAATTTTCCCCTATGTGTTTCAACAGATCGGAGGGATATGTGTTACCCAAGTAGCTGGAGGGAAATCGGAAATGTGATTCAGAATTTCGGAGCCAATGGCATTTGTACTCACAACTCCTTGAGGTAGTTCGCAATGGCCCTGTTGAAGTTCTCCTCGCCCATTGCAAGGCACCACATGCGGATCACGCTGGCGGCCTTGGCAAATGAAATTCTGCCGAACTTGTAGTCGATGTCTGCGGGCGTCTGTATGCTCACCTCTGCACTGGTCATCGGCTGAGTTATATTCAGAGAGTCGGTCGTAAGGACGTGCTGAAGCTTATGCACGACAAACTGCTGGTCCAACTGATATTCTGGATATAGCTGCGAAAGAAACCAACAAAAACTGTATAGAACAAACCAATTGGATAAACACACAGAAGGACCCTACAAGTAATCGCAGCTCATCCCAAACAAGTCATCTTCTTACCTTATGACCCATAAAGAACTCGTAGTAACGCGCGAACCCTTCGTGCAGCCAGATGGAGCTCCACCATTTGCAAGTGACGCTATTGCCGAACCACATGTGTGCGTTCTCATGGACTATATTGCGAATTGTAAACTCCTTCTGTGCCCATCCATCGGTAACGCCGGGCTGTTCCAGAAGGACCTTATCCCTAAATTATTAAGATTTAGGTTAACCCCTTGATTCACTGTACCTACTTGGACTACTCACTTGAAAATCACTAGACCCCAATTCTCCATGCTGTTATGGGGAAAACGGGGTGTGGTTGCATATTGTAGTACATCGTTGCCCAGTTCTTGATAAGGCTGCTGGAACAACTCCCCATATGCTGGCAGTACACGCTTGGCGACAGAGTAGCTGAACTCCGTGTACTGGTTGTACGCCGGACGGGTATGAATGGAGAGGGTACTGTTGCCTCGCATCTGGTACTCGGAGACCACAAACGCCAACAAATATGGGGACATTATGGGTGTCACCTCGAAGTGGTCGGTAAAGCGATTATTTCTGCAATTGTTCAATAGGTAATGCAAATTTCCTTAAGCTCAACACCTTCGAGGCTTACCCCTCGCTCGTCGTTTTCTCCAGCTTCGTATTACTGATAGCATGTAGGCTATCGGGTCGGGTGATGCTTAGCTGAAATTTGGCCTTGAAGGTCGGCTCGTCGAAGCAGGGAAAGACCAAGCGCGCGTTGATGGGCTGCATCTGAGTTAAGAGCACCCACTTGGTCTGCATGGCCGCCTCGTCGATATAGCTTGCGGAGAACAGACCTACAGTATCAGTCTGAATGTTTCCGAAGTACTTGAAGAACAAAGTGTAGTTTACATTGGCAGTTAAGGCCTGATTCAGACCCACAGTCAGTTGCTGTGCTTCCTCTACAGAAGTTAGTCTGGCGTTGTTAACCTCTTGGACCTGCTTGCCAGCGGCGTCATAGAGCACACACTGTATGATGGTAAGTGTCACATCCTTGTGTAGGGTGATTTCCTTCACATCCGCAAGTGATGTCTGCAAGGTAATGCTGACCTCGCCATCGAATTTCGTAGCAGGACTATTAGGAACTATTGTGTTGTCCCGCAAACTGATGCTTAGATTGTAAAGCGAGGGCCTCACGTTGGTGCTTAACCTGTAGTTTATCTGACACTCGCAACCCCCGATCCATGCTAATGTGATAAGTGCGGCCAAGGGCCAAACGCCGAACCAAGAACAGCTCATGTCGATGGCTCTTCGAATACTGAATTATACTTTGTCCAATTCTATTAAAACATTAACTCACGAGCCCTTCCAAATAATAGGTGATTTTTTTTAAAGATTAGATTACAATATGACACACTGTTTCCAACTGTGGATTGGTTTATGGTCATATCTGTTAGTGTTGTTATGGAAATTTATAACTTTTATGATAATCATGAACAACTAGGAAGTATCAAAGCTGATAAGAATATATGTAGGTATGTATATGTACATACATCATTTCGAAACTATTACGTAGTATTGTTTGGAAATCCTAAAAGCCATATAATCTTTCAAATTTTCACTTGAGAGGCCATAAAGATACGCACATGTTCGGTATCACTATAAAAACTGTAGACATTGGCATTGATCAATGGCTGTACAAAGCTTTTGAAATAATGATTATTATTGCTAATTGATATCATTGGTGATCAAAATCAATTGCTCCTAATCAATCAACCCATTCGTAATCAAAGCAAGTAATTCTTTTTTTTGGAATTATATGTAACTTTATTATAGTCAAATCCTCGACTGTCTTAGATATATTAACAATCTTAATTGTACCAATTGACTTATAATCTTGCTATTCTAAAAAACAAATATACATATATATTTTTTTTATTTTAACAACACCAACGAAGAAGCCAACGCCAATCCACCAGCTCCATTTCTCTGGGCTAGGAAATTCACCAACTTGCCCAAGCGCTGCTCCGCCCATTGCACGTTCGCCTCTACTTTGGTCAGTGCCTGGTTGAGTGTTTCCGCGGAACTGCCGAAGGATGTGTGGCTTTGCTTGTAGAAGTTAGAAAAGAGCTGCTGCTGCTCCCGAGTGGTGAAGTACTCCGCCATGTCGCTCAGAGCCTGAGCGGTCTTTGCCCAGTTGAAGCCCAAGCTGTAATATAGAGTATAGAATATAGAATATACAAGTGAATTACTTTAGCTAGCTCTAGATATAACCCATCGAGCAACTTACGCATCGTTCAGCTGTGAAATGTTCTCGGTTACCATTTGGAAGATGGGCGTCACCAGGTCCGGATTCTGTTCATAGAGCTGCGCTAGGCCAACCATCTTGAGGTCCACGCTGTTGCCCTGGCCCAAGATCTCGTTCTGGTAGTGCGTCCGATAGTCCCTCGTACAGCTGGCGGCGCGCCAGTAGATCTCTCGATCTATGTAGTTGGTTTCCTTCTTATATAGCTCCAAGACTCGATCGTACCCATCTGTTCTGGCGGCTGCACAGTAAAAGGTCTCCCGATAGTCTGGCGATGGCTTTTCTGAGCCATTGAACTTCTCCAGCACCTGCGCAGTGCAATTGGAGGTTTGGTACTTGCAGAGCCATGACACCTGCTGGTTGCGGTTGTAGACATCCAACACCTTGTCGCTGGCACTCCAACTCACGCCCAGCTTGGCGTGCACCGCCTCTGTGATGTCGCTGAGATACTTCTTGAAATTGGGCAACTGCTGTGGGGTCAGGCGCCTCGCCACCTTCTCCAATCCCACGTAGGCAGCATACCAGGGAATATAGTCGGTTTCTGTGCTCATGTACTCCATGAACTCGAAGACCTCGACGTAATCAATCAATTCAGCGAGCGCGAAGTTAAACAGATCATCAATGATAGCAGCTCGATTCTCAACGGGGATTTCACTGTGATCAGCCTTGATCAAGGCTTTTTGAATCCGCCCTAGAAGTGGTGGCTGATAGTGTACTCTGTAGTAGAATGCTTGTTTTATATTGACGATGATCCAGTCAATTGGTTGGTTCATATGGCCCCAATAAAAAGGCACGTCGCTTTCGAAATAAAAGTTGGGTGTTAGATTCTGAAAATTACGGCCAAGATTTGTGGTCCATGTGATGGGCGTTGTGTATCGCAAGTTGGGATTGCTGCCATCTGTGCTGTTTAACAAGAAGCGTGTCTGCTTAAAGCGAAATGTTTGATTATCCTCATCGAGGCTGACTATAATCCTTGGGTAGCCCACTTTTATATTAAAGTCGTAATAAATTGAGTTTAATGTGACATCTTGTTCCTTGGGCCAGTTCTCCGTAAGATGCACATATAACATAGGGGGTGTAACGGTACTCAAACGGCTAATAGAAATTATTTAAGCAGGATTAGGTTATTGTATCCTAAGGAAATCGCACTCACTATTCCTTAAGGAAGTTTCGGATTGCTGTTTTAAAGTTTTCCTCGCCCATTAAGATGCTCAACATGCGGATTACGCTAGCTGCCTTCGCAAAAGCGATTCTCTCAAATTTATAATTGATATCCTCTGGGGTATTAATGTTCACTTGTGCGCTGGTCATTGGCTGAGTGATATTTTGAGAATCGAATAAAAGCGCCTGATGTAGAGTTTGCACGAGGAATTGCTGGTCGAGCTGATAATCGGGATAAAGCTGTGAAGCAAATTAAATATATATTTTTACACATTTGAGCAATCGAAATCTTTGGAAAGGGGGCGTACTTGATGTCCCATGAAGTACTCATAGTAACGCGCGAACCCTTCGTGCAGCCAAATATGGCTCCACCAAAGGCAGGTTACGCTATTGCCGAACCACATGTGGGCATTCTCCTGCACAATGTTGCGAATAGTAAGCTCCTTGTGCAACCATCCATCGGTAATACCGGGCTGCTCCACAAAAACATTATCCCTGTATTACAAAGACACTTAGTTAATATTAAGCCCCTTAGTTAGGGGCTGGACAATCCTCACTTGGCAATGATCAGTCCCCAGTTGTTAGCGCTGATTTGGGAAAGACGTGGAGTGGTTGCATATTGTAGTACATCGTTGCCCAGTTCTTGATAAGGCTGCTGGAACAACTCCCCATATGCTGGCAGTACACGCTTGGCGACAGAGTAGCTGAACTCCGTGTACTGGTTGTACGCCGGACGGGTATGAATGGAGAGGGTACTGTTGCCTCGCATCTGGTACTCGGAGACCACAAACGCCAACAAATATGGGGACATTATGGGTGTCACCTCGAAGTGGTCGGTAAAGCGATTATTTCTGCAATTGTTCAATAGGTAATGCAAATTTCCTTAAGCTCAACACCTTCGAGGCTTACCCCTCGCTCGTCGTTTTCTCCAGCTTCGTATTACTGATAGCATGTAGGCTATCGGGTCGGGTGATGCTTAGCTGAAATTTGGCCTTGAAGGTCGGCTCGTCGAAGCAGGGAAAGACCAAGCGCGCGTTGATGGGCTGCATCTGAGTTAAGAGCACCCACTTGGTCTGCATGGCCGCCTCGTCGATATAGCTTGCGGAGAACAGACCTACAGTATCAGTCTGAATGTTTCCGAAGTACTTGAAGAACAAAGTGTAGGTTACATTGGCAGTTAAGGCCTGATTCAGACCCACAGTCAGTTGCTGTGCTTCCTCTACAGAAGTTAGTCTGGCGTTGTTAACCTCTTCGACCTGCTTGCCAGCGGCGTCATAGAGCACACACTGTATGATGGTAAGTGTCACATCCTTGTGTAGGGTGATTTCCTTCACATCCGCAAGTGATGTCTGCAAGGTAATGCTGACCTCGCCATCGAATTTCGTAGCAGGACTATTAGGAACTATTGTGTTGTCCCGCAAACTGATGCTTAGGCTGTAAAGCGAGGGCCTCAAGTTGGTGCTTAACCTGTAGTTGATCTGACACTCGCAACCCCCGATCCATGCTAATGTGATAAGTGCGGCCAAGGGCCAAACGCCGAACCAAGAACAGCTCATGTCGATGGCTCTTCGAATACTGAATTATACTTTGTCCAATTCTATTAAAACATTAACTCACGAGCCCTTCCAAATAATAGGTGATTTTTTTAAAGATTAGATTAGAATATGACTAAGGCGAAAAAATCGTTGACTTACTTAGTTTTGGCACACTGTTTCCAACTATGGATTGGTTTATGGTCATATCTGTTAGTGTTGATATGGAAATTTATAGCTTTTATGATAATCATGAGCAACTAGGAAGTATCAAAGCTAATAAGAATATATGTAGGTGTGTATATGTATATACATCTTTTCGAAACTATTACGTAGTATTATTTGGAAATCCTAAATGCCATATAAACGAAATGATCATGTTTTTATATCTTCTGAAATCGACTCGTTCAAGCATACGGACAGACGGATGGGCAGATGAACAGGGCTAAATCGACTCTGCTCGACGCCCTGATCAAGAAGGTTTGGTGTCTGCCACGCCTCCTTTTGCTGATTTCCCATTTGCAATAGGTTAAGGCTATGAAAATTCTCATGATTTCGCTGATGAAGATTTAAGGTGTGACGAATTACTTCTAACAAGTAATTTGTATATCTTTATGAGTTGTGTGTGGTCGCAAGCCTTTCAAAGAGCATTCGACCACTTGTTCAATGATTAGATAGTGTGAATGTTATTATTATTATCGAAAAGGGGCGTGTGTTGGAACTAGACACTCGAGTGTAGGCATATGACTATATACTATAAAAAAAAATGCTCAGATTACGATTGGGAATCCTAATAATATTCTAAGAATCAACCTAAACTATTACCTGATACGACACGCCTTAATATTCGGACCATATAATTTATATATTACTTAGTTCAATATTAATTCCGTTCAAAAACTTCCAAGTTGTAAGCATATGTATTTATTTTCAATATATAAATTCATTTATTATCTAAATTTCTAGTCTCTAGCATGAAAATTTCAACAACAATTTACATTATTCAATATGACGTTAAGTAAGCCAAAAATTTAAAAGTGACGTCACTACCAATAGCAGTGCTGACATCAGCGTTAGATCAGCTGCTCCGTTCCTCGTGGCCAAATAGCGGACAAGTTGATCCAAGTTCTGGTCAGCCCATAAAATGTTTTTTTCGATTTTGAGCAGGGCTTGGCGAAGAATCTCATCGGAGCTACCGAACAGCATAAAGCTCTCGTTAATGAACTCGGCAAAAAGCTGTTGCTGGTACCTTGTGGTAAAGTAGTCCGCCATATCGCTCAAGGCCGTCGCAGTCTTAGGCCAGCTCTGCAAGCTGCGAGTTAAACATTCATGAGGTTAATATTAACATTGAAACGAAGTTCATTGCTCTAGATCTTACGCATCTGCTAACTGCTGGATGTCCGTGGTAACGGCAATAAAAATGTATGTTACCAGATCGGGATTCTGTCGATAGAGCTGGGCCAGGCCAACAGTTTTTAGGGACACACTGCTGGATTCGTTTAAGATTTCATCGTGGTAGTGCCTATAAAAGTCCCTCGTGCAGCTGGCAGCGCGCCAGAGGAGCTCTCGTTCGGTTGGGTCTGTCTCATTCCTATAGTACTCCATAATGCGAAGGTATCTACCTCCTCTGGAAGCAGCACAGTAATAGGTCTCTCGATAGTCTGGTGATGGGATCTCCGAGTTTTTATCAAAGCTCTCTCGCACTTCGTCTTCACATTTGAAGTGGTGATATTTGCAGAGCCAGGAGACCATCTTGTTGCGATTGTAGACATCCAACACGGTGTCGTTAGAGGCCCATCTCACGCCCAGCTTGGCATAGACGCCATCTGTGATGTCGATGAGATACTTCTTGAAGTTTGGCAATTGGTCTGAGGTCAAACGCATTGCCACTTTATCCATGCCCACGTAGGCTGCATACCACGGAATATAATCGGTTTCTGTGCTCATGTACTCCATGAACTCGAAGACCTCAGCATAATTATTTAAACCGATCAAAGCTAAATTGAAGAGATCATCAATGATCGCTGCGCGATTCGCAACGTGTATATCGCTGTGGTTGGTTTCGATCAGAGCCTCATGAATCCGCCTCAGCAGCGATGGCGCATACTGCACGCGATAATAGTTGGACTGCTGCAGATTGAGCACAATCCATTCGATCGGGTCAGAAAAGGGAAGCAGCATAGTATCGTCCCATTTATTGAAATACGTAACCGGTGCCAAGTTTTCAAAGTCACGCCATACATTTGTGGTGTAGGTTATGGGCACCGTGTAGGTTAAATGTCTATCGCTGCCATCGTTGGGATCCAGTATGTATCGGCGTTGCCTTAGGGTGAACGAAGAGGAGTCAACGCGGCTCACTTCGACTATGGGGTAGCCCACCTGCTCGGTGAAGTCGTAAAAGAACTGATCCAAGTCAGCATTCAGAGGCTTGGGCCAATTCGCCTTGAGATGTGTAAACAAATCCTTTGGCACGGTGTTTCCCAGGTGACTAAGGGAATGACGATAGAATAGGTATATTGCAGTTATCCTAAGGCAATGCTCACTCACTGCTGCCTGAGGTAGTTGCGAATGGCTAAATCAAAGTTCTCCGTGCCCATCGCATTCCGCCACATGCGCACTATGCTAGAGCCCTTGGCATATGTAATGCTGCTGAACTTGGAGGCGATTTCGGATGGGCTTCGTATGTCCGCCTCGGGGCTTGACAGCGGCTGCGTTCCGTTGTTGGCATCAAGTGTTAAGATCATCTGCAGCTGGCGCACCACGAACTGCTCGTCTAGTTGATAAGCTGGATAGAGCTGTAATGGAACTCTTTGATTTGTCAGATATCTTAGCTAATATTTGAATAAATTTACTTGATGCGACATAAAGTACTCGTAATATCGCGCGAATGCCTCGTTTAGCCAGAAGTTATTCCACCAGGCAAAGGTCACACTGTCACCGAACCACATGTGCGACGTCTCGTGCACGATGATGCGTATGCTAGTCTCCTTATCGTTCCAGCCATCTGTGTAGTTTGGTCGATGCACCAGAATATTTTGGCTATGAAATGAAGGATATGCAATTGCTAGACGATCTAGTAATGACTGTATTTCTCTGTAACTCGCCATCTCTATTCTTAAGAGAATCTATTTACAATCTAACCTGTAGATGATGAGACCCCAGTTCTCCATGCCGTTGTGCGGAAAGCGCGGGGAAGCGGCATGCAGAAGAGCTTCGTTGCCCAGTTCCTTATAGGGATGTTGGAATAGCTTGTCGTAGGCATCTCTTGCACGCTGGGCCACATTATAGCTGAACTCAGAGTTGCTGTAGTCCTGTGGCCGACTTACCACAGCCAAGTCGCTGAGATTACCGCGTGCCTGGGACTCGGCGACCATAAAAGCAAGCAGATAAGTGGACATGAAAGGTGTTACTTGAAAATGATCCATTGATCGATTTTTATTGCTGCAATTGAAATAGAACCGATAAGCTGGCAGCACGCTTGTTGGCTATCTACATCAGTTTACCGCAGTTCTGTTGTTGCGATAAGCTGCGTATTGCTGATAGCATGCAATCCACTCGGCCGTTCAATGTGCAACTGGAACCTGGCCTTGAAGGCCGGCTCATCGAAGCAGGGAAAGAGCAGACGCGCATAGATCCGTTGTAATTGCGTTAGCACCATCCATTTAGTCAGGCCCGTCTCCTGCTCCACATAACTGGCACTGAACAGACCCTTCGTATCACTGTTCACCTTGCCCCTGTACTTAAAGTGCAGCGTAAAGTTCGCATTGGGGCTCAAAGGCTGCAGCAGCTGAACAGTCAGCTTCTGTGTTGCCAGGCTATAGGTCAGTGAACTGTTCGCAATACGATAGAGTAGCGAGCCAGCGTCATTGTACAGCGCGACTTCGGCTATATCGATATCTTCCTTGTGCAATACGATCGCATTCACATTGGGCTGCGTCGCTTTCAATGTTATGTCGACAGCGCCATCAAAGCTGTCGCTGGGTTGATTAGCATCGGCTCTCAGACCGATGGTTAGATTATAAAATACAGGCAGCACTGTGCGCTCGAGCCGATAATTCGTACACTCGACGCCGGCTATCAGGCATATAGATAAAAGACCGGCGAGCAGCCAGACGCTGCGTCCAAGACTGAACATGCCGACAGCAGTTTCAACACTGAGCGTCAAAGTTATTTAAAATCGAATTAGACACAGATGATGATGTGTTTGCGTGATGATAAGATAAGCTGGACAGTGGCAATCGATGCGATGAATAGGCACCCATTCTTATTCCTATTCCCATAAGGCTTTTCCCTAAAAACCGTATAAAACAAAAGCACTTAATTAAGAAATCTATGTAAATTTATAAAAATTGACTGATAATTCAAAGTTAAAAAGTAGTTGCAACACATTCATTAAAAACATAAGATACATTAAAATCTATCCAATACGCCCGACGTACATGCCTAACTAGATTTGTGGCCCAGACAGTTCAAAAGTGTTTGTAAACCAGTTTTTTAGTGGAATTTCGAGGTGTTTATAAAATATGTATGTTAAATATGGATTTAAAAAAAACAGACAGTTTACTGAGTTTGAATTTTACTCACTCACAAGCTACATTTCATAAACAAATATATTTATTTGTTTACATTAGCAAGCGGCTCTCTCATAAGGTATTCGCTTCTACTTAAAACTTTGTCAATGTAGGCAAAAGAATTTATTTACTGTGATAATGATTTGCTTATATAAGCAATTAGACAGACCCGCCTAGAGAGTCTGCTCTTTGTTAAGAGATTATTTTCAAACAGTATCAGAGGAGTGTTAGGAAGCTCAGAATTTGTATACTCGACTAAGTGAAATGAGCTTATTGGTTTGTGCCCTGTCCATCCGTCCATCTGTCCGTATGAGTGCAAATAATCTACACGCTATTGAGCCTATAGACTTGAATGTTTCAATATATACTCGTATATACCCGCCTCTAACAAAGTCAAAAAATATTCCCGAGGGGGATTTTTTTCATTAGAGGGAGAGTATCTTAAAAATCCGACTATATTAAGAGTTGGACATTCTAAATGTATAGTTGAATATAGTCGAGCTACTAATCAAGGTGAAGTCCGGACGTCGAAAAAACTAAAATTTTCTATAGTTATTCAGTTCGAGGAATCTAAGGACTATATTATGAATGACTATATTCTGTATTGGTAATGTATGTATAATGATATGTATATATATATATATATATATCGGCAAAATTGTGCTGGTATCGTTTTAATTATAAATAAGTAGACTCTGATTGCGATATTATGAATGGGGTAACTTGAAGTTTATCTCATTTTAGCTTATCAACTCAATAAATATTTATTCCTCATCAATATACGAAGCCGCAAAATTGATCGAGTTGTTTTGGTCGGGACAGGCTGATGGATAGCTCGTTGTTGATAGCAACGGTTTATGACCAATATTTGCGGATGGTATGAGACAGCATACCAATAATGTGTATATACTCCATATATAGGCAGAATTTTGTAAAATTGTGAAAAATATTATGCCTGCAGAATTCTCCGAATGCGAACTAGCTAATATTGACACCTGAAACTTATTAACCCACGTCCACGTTCCATAAAGATTAGATTGAGTTTTAGATTGTTTTATTATAAGCTAAAATCAACATAGTTGTATTCAAAGCCCTCTTATCTGGCTGGTTTATGGCCTGCTGGACAGGCGGTACAGGCGTACAAATACTTCAATAGTTGGACGACAGCGCCAATGCCAATTTATGGCAAAGGGGCTAATTTTGGTCTTAACGCAGCAACGTGACCAGGGCCACCAGCAGCAGGGTGAGCAGGCTTAGGCCGCTCAGCGTGGCGCTGCCGTTGCGACTGGCCAGATAGGTGCGGAAGGTGCCCAGCCTGGTCTCGGCCCAGTCCAGATTCTCCTGGACGGTCGTCTCAGCGGCCTTCAGTGTGCTTGCCGAGCTGCCGAACTTGGCGCTATTGTCGGCATTGAACTTCTTCAGGTCGTCCAATTGCGACTGCTCGGTAAAGCGGGCCGCAAGGTTCGAGACGACTGTGGCCACCGAGGAGTAGCCACCCATGCTGTAGTAAATGGAAACAAATTCAATATTATAGATATACGTGTCTCAATATCAGTTGGGCAGTTGGGCTACTCACGCTGTGGCCAGTGCATCGACATTGGCGGTGACCAGCTTGAAGACGGGGCTCACATTCTCGTTGTTCTCGGTGTAGAGGGTGGTCAGCACTGAGGACTTGTCCTGGCGACGAATCTCATTGCTCAAAACCAAATTGAAGACACGCTCAATGAGCGCCTGTTGCTTCACACAACCAAAGGAGTTCTGCAGCAGAGTCTCTTCTGTGGCAACCTTTTCGGTCTTGAATTTCGCATAGAGTGCATCGAACTCGGTGGCACCGCCCTCACGCAGCGACACACAGTAGACCACGGAGCGAATGTTCTTGGGCACAGTGTAGAGCGACTTGAAATAGCTCTTGGCCCTGTTGATGCAATCAACGTTGCCATAGCGACAGCTCCAGGACAGCACCTTGGTGCGCAGGTAGATCTCGAGCGCTGTGTTCAGGGTGCTCTCCTCGAAGCCCAGCTGGTTGTAGGCCTTGTTGGTCAGCTGGCGAATGTATGTGCTGAAGTGGGCGGTGTCCGTGCCCAGGCGTATAGCCAAGTAGTTGAAGCCATTGAATGCCGATGTCCAGGGTATATAATTGATTTCGGTTTCCAGATACTCGAGCACCTTCAGTGTGAGCTCGTATTTGATATGTCCGGCTCGTGCCAAATTGAGCAAGTCATCAACCACCTGAGCGCGATTCAGCTCATGGATGCCACCCCAGTTGGTGCCGATGAGCGCCTTGTGGATTTCATTCCAGTTACTCTCCGTGTAGTTGACGCGATAGTAGCCCGTCTCCTGGATGTTTGCCAACACCCATGTGGCCGCGCTGGACAAGGTAACTGTCGCTGGCGTATTGGAGGCTAGCACCAGCTTCGGCTTGGTGTCGTTAAAGTTCTTCTCCAAACTGGTGGTGTAGGTAATTGGCACGGTATAGACCAAATTGGGGTCGGCGCCGTCAGCTTGCTTAAGGAGGAAGCGTTTCTGGGCAAACTTAATACTCTTGCCATCAGCGCTCAGCTCAGCATTGATCAGGGGATAGCCCACTTGAGTGGTGAAGCTCGTGAAGATCTTTTTCGCATCGGCCTTGAAGCGATCAGCGGGCCAGTTGGCCAGCCAGGCATTCAACAAGTCTTCAGGGACCGAGGGCCGATATTGGCTGCAAATGTCATGTGATAAGTATTCATAGCCAGAACGCACTAAGTAAGAATACTTACTTTTTGAGAAGGTACTCCCGCAGAGATTTCTTGAAATTATCCGAGCCCATTGCATGCTCAATCATACGAATAAAGGTGGCGCCCTTATTGTAAGAGATGCTATTGAACATCCGACTCAGGTGAGCCGGCGTGAATGTGTTCTCATCGCTCAAGGGATTGGTGGCGTTGGTCGAGTCCATGCCCATGACCGACTGAATCTGATCGACCACAAACTGCAGATCCATGCTCCACTCCGTTTCGACCATGGCGGTGCCAAAGTATTGGAAATACCTGGCAAAGCCCTCATTCAACCAGGTGTAGCTCCACCATTTGCAGGTGACCAGATCTCCGAACCACATATGAGCCTGTTCGTGGGCGACAACAGCTGCAATTGATTGACGGGATGACAGAGTCGTGGCGGTCTCATCCACCAGCAGACTGCGCTCCCTGTAGGTCAGCAGGCCCCAGTTTTCCATGGCACCCGCTGAGAAATCGGGTATGGCAGCCATGTCCATTTTATCATTGCCTAGCGTGTAGTAGTTCAAGTCCAGATAGGTGCTCAACTCGGCAAGAATCTTGCGACCCACGTTGAAGCTGTATTGGGTCTGTGGGTAAAACTCGGGACGCGCCAAAACTCCGAACGTCTCATCTTTGCGGATGGAGAACTCCGAGATAATGAAGGCCAGCAAATAGGTGGACATTTTGGGTGTGGTTTTGTATACATCCAAAAAGTATTCGCTGAAGTAAACATGACAGTTAGCACAGATTTGCATGAGTGTTTCTTGAAACCTACCCATTCTGCATAGGTGTTGAGGATATTAGCCTTGTATTACTAACAGTATTGTAGGTGCGAGGACGTATCAGGTTCACATCAAAGGTGGCCTTAAACTGTGGCTCATCGAAGCTGGGGAAGGCACGACGTGCATGATTTGTCTGGAACTGTGTGGAGCCCAGCCATCTACCAAAGACAAAACAGACAAAACTCTCAGTACCGAAATTGAAGCCAGCGAATCTTTTGCACCCACTTCGTCTCATTGTTGTCGTTCACATAGGAGCTACGATAGAATCCATGCATATCATCGTCCATCGTTCCCTTGTAAACGAAATGCAAAATGTAGCTCTGATTGGCCACCAGATCCGATGTGGTGGTCAGATTCTTAATGTCGGTCTCCAAATTGTGTGGTCCAACTGTCAGCTGAATGGGATTAGCTGCAACACTTCCTGTTGCCGGTTTCGCCCAGTATTCCGACTTCGTATAGTTCAAGTTTCTCGAGTGCAACGACACGAGCCTTGTCGTCGACACCGGTTCGATTTCGATGAATACCTCACCGTCGAAGGTAAAGCGAGCCGTATCGCTTTCTAGCAAATATGGGCGCAACGTAATATTGTAGTTAATGGGATTGATGTGCGTTGCCAATCTGTATTCCCAGTTCTCTGGTTCCGCAAAGGTAGACGGTGGCAGGACTTCCGGTGCCTGTCGTGGAGCCGCCAACACGACGCACAGACAGACCGCCCCGAGGACAGCCAAATGCCGACCGAACATTTCAACTGCAAATTATTAAGATTTCGAATCAATGCTCAAATAGATAATTACAACAATTATTGGAGCACAATATATGTTTAATAGGCACTCACTTTATATTTTAAATATCACTAGACTAGAACGAAATTCGCGACTAAAGCACTGCGGAGAGCAACGCGAAAAACCAAACTGAAGTTAACTAGCAATTGTGTGTGCTATATATGATGACTTTAACAGCGTTTTATCTCTAACCTTAAAACATTTTATTTGAGTCAAGATAATTTACACATTGCTTATAGATTAAACGACGATTACGATGAGGCCCCGATAAGAGAATCAAGCGTGATTTATGCCCTACATATATGTGGGCACATGCCAATCAATGACTTAAGTATAGCCAACAGTTATATATGGAAAGATTTAACGATGGACTTTAATCCAGATACCATAAAAGGAATGACTAATACGATGCGGGTAAGGCACCCCAAATAGTTAGTAGTAATTACATATGTGCCAAATAATCGATTGACTAAATCTGTATGCCTTGGCCACTTCAAGTAACGCCTATATCAGCTTTTAATTAGTCTTCGAGATAAACCGATTCCACGAAGTGTTGGACACATAAATATATTTAGTCCTGAAGTAAAATAGCAATATTGATGATAATCATCGATTGAAAAAGGCGAGAGTTATGCAGCGCATTCTAAATTGATCTAAATTTATGTATGATTCACATATTGTTTTTCTTTTCAATCAAGTTTATAAACAAATGCTGCAGTATCAATAGATAGTAGTACCTTGGAAAGATAATTAGAAAATAAGAATCGAAAGGGAGATCGACGAGTCAGTCGGTGCGAAGATCTCGGCAACTAAACAGCTATTTCAAAAAAAAAAAAAAAAAAAAAAAAAAATGAATACGTATCGTTGATTAAAATTGTTAGCTTGCTCAAGTTGAAGATAAATATTCATAAGTTGATTTATAGCCATCGAAAAAATTAGATCACATATATCTGGAGGTCTATAATTATTTTTAGCTGTGTACACATATAGTTTAACTCAAACAGTTGAGTCACTCAGAGAGCTTATGACAGAGCATAGGTATTTCTCTACTTCTATGTAACTAAAATATGAGTTGTTTTTCATAAAATAAGAATGTTTTTGAGTGGTCGGGACTTCCCGACCAGAAGATACCAAGCGTTCTGAAAATAGCTGATAGTCTGATAAGCTTTCGGATCCCGTCATATGTGAGTGATTCTTAAGCTATGTCTCAAAATGGAAATTCGATTTTTTTCGATTAAGTGGATATGAGATTACCCATCGAAAAATGAAAGAAGCTCGTGCTACATATGGTATACGGAAATATATATTTAGTTATTCATTGCTGCCTTCTCACCGACGGACGGATCCACTGACGGACGGGTGGAAGGACAATATGGAAAGAAAAAAGTATTACAAATGTTTATCTAATCGCATTAATCATAAATTGGCATTATAAGAGGCATTACAATAAATTTTTTCTAATAAAATAATATGATATAGTTTTTTTATTTTGCTTATTATAGGCAATAAAATGCTTGTGATACGGGGCTTATTGCTAATCTATCACGTGAAGCTAGACCAGTTAGTAATCGAAGTTTGTTTATAATCGGAAATTAGAAACTTCAAACGTGGCATTTGTTAATGAAGCCCGTTGATAAAGATTTTAGTCTCTTATCATATAGTATACCTAAAATTTTCCAATCATTTTAATGTACTGCGCGAATGAATTCAAATGAAATTAGACGGTTTCGGTGAATTTAAATGTTCTCGAATTGCTTGAAGTTGAATCAAATAACGTCATCATCGCCTGATAAGCACAAAATGGCGTACTTCATGGACGGATTAGTCAATTCCCGATTGGCTACATGTGCCATTATTTCCATCGATAATGATTATTGTTGCCATGTGATCGAATTGCTCAAATTTGATAAGTCATTGAGCTATTTATGGGAGACATAAACTACAAAATCCTAAGTCGCATGGAACGTTTACCAAAAACATAAAGAAATTTTTTCCACCTTCATAAATACTAAAATATTATTGGAATCACAACGTGGAAATAGTTAATAGGCTTTGTCATCGGGTGGAAATGATTGTTGTTAATTTAGCGACAGGAGTTTGATTTGAATATTTTTTATTGGCAAACGGTAGAATCGGAAATTTATTTACATACATATTGGTCAAGCGAGGTAGTCGTACCTTAAATTAACTTAGTGAGTCCTACAAAATACATCTTAGAAGAACATGGCGACGAAGAGGCACAGCGCCATGGCTAGCACAGATGCTGTCAGAGCGGGACTGCCGTTGCGGAAGGATGTTACCCAAGAAATGATGGGTCCCCGGTTGGAAGTCAGCCAGGCCATGTTCGCCTCAACGTTAGTGTCCACGCTTGCCTGAAGTGTTGCGGGCACATAGTCGGAGTCTTTGACCGCATCGATCAGTTCCTGCAGCTTAGCCCTTTGGCTGTCGTTGACCACATACGAAGACATGCCCAGAATGTCAGAGTATAGTGGGTTAACGCCCCCAAAGCCAGCATTCAGCTGGGCATACTTCTCCCAATTATTGAGCAGGAAATCGATGCAGACATTCAGACCCACCGATCCACGGGAGTAGGTGGGAGTGAGTAGCGTATAGCGCTCCTGAGTGCGCAGCTGGTTATTCGTATCAATGCTGCTGGAAACGTATTTCTCCAGCTGCTTCTCATTCTGTGCGCAGCCCAGGGCTGAGATGAGCAGACGACGCTCGGCCTGGTTGTTTGAGTGCATCAGTTTGTCGTAGACAAAGTCAAAGGTTTTATCGTCGGCCTGCTTGAGACCATTGCAGTAGACGGGCGTCTGTAGATTGGGTTCGATCGGGGTGCCGTGCTCGATCAAGGCCTGCAGCTTGGCGTTTGTCTCATCCAGGCAGCTCTTTAAGCCGGCCAGACAGGCCACATTAATGACCGCGTTGCGGGTAAACTTGACCAAGTGTTGCTCTCCGCTCTGGTCGTTCACGCCAAACTTATCGAACTGCTCGCTGACCAATTGCGCAACATAGAACTGGAAATTCTCGTAGGCTTCATCACCGCTCAGATAGCGATTGAATAGACTGATCACAGAATTAGCCGTTGACCAGGGTGCATATTGAGTTTCCTGCGGCAGGTAGGTGAGCAGCTGAAGGAGCACGTAATGTGACAGGCGACCGCTAGTAGCGAAACGGTATGCGTCATCAATCAGCTGGGCGCGATTACGCGGATGAATCTTGTGCGGACGATCGGCCAAGCCGTTACTGATCAGCTGCCAGTTCTGTGTATCATAGTTGATGCGATAGTAGCCCGTGGACTGTTTGTTCAGTATCAGCCAGTCATCGCTCTTCAGCGCGGCATCGCTGATGCTCAACTCCTGGTCCTTGTGCAGATAGTGAGTGGCCTCAGTGCGGCGGAAATCCGGATTTGATTGCAGTGCATAGTTCACTGGCACGTACCAGGTCTTGTCACCCTTGGCGTCCTTGTTGTTGGTGTACTGCTCCTGCTTGACGGTGAAGGATCCATCGTTATAGTTGCGCTCTACAGTCAGCAGCGGCAGCCCACCCTGGCGGGTCCAGCTGGACATCATGTCGTCCACAAGAGCTGGCACCTCATAGTTCAATTCGCGAGCGGCTAGCGCAATGGCATTGAACAAGTCCGTCTCATTGGCAGCGGAATAGGCCCTAGAATATCAGCAATTAGTTTCGAATTAAGATCAACTGGATGATATGCATACTTCTCCACCAGATAGTTGTGCAGACCCTGCTGAAACACGGTGTTGGTAAGGGCGTGACGCCACATGTCCAGCACAGAGCCTGCCTTGGCATACGCAATTGAGTCATAGAGCAACGAAATGTCCGAAGGCTTCTCCACGTAGTAAGTCATAGGGCGCACTGAGGGATTGCCGTCACTTACCATGGCGCTCTGATATGAGCCAGTATGGAAAGTCTGGAATATATCCCATTCTGGATAGGCCTGTTTGGGGTAATCAATTCGAATTTGGTCTCAGTCGGTCTTTTGTTAATAAATGTTCGCTTACCAAATTGACAGCCAAGTTCTCGAAGAGCGTGGCAAAACCCTCTTTGAGCCAGAGATAGCTCCACCATTCGATGGCCACCAGATCACCGAACCACATGTGCGCATCCTCGTGCGCCTCAATGGTGGCAATGTTTGTCTGTGTACTAGTTGTAGAGTTCTCCACATTGTACAGCAGATATTCCTCGCGATATGTGGCCAGGCCCCAGTTCTCCATGGCGCCAGCAGCGAAATCGGGTATAGCTGCCTGATCCAGTTTAGGCAGAGCGAACGGTACACCGAAGTAGCCAGATAGACGTTTCTCGACCAACATGCCAGTGGTCAAAGCCCATTCCTGCTCATGCTCGGTGCCCTTGCGGGAGAAGACGCGCTGGGGCAGGCCGTTAAGCTCACCCTCTGAAGACACAAATTCCGATACAATGAAGGCCACCAAATAGCTAGGCATTTTGACAGTGGGCTGGAAGGCCGTAACACCAGGGCTAGAGAAGTCAACCGAAAATCAATTGAAAGGATTTTCTTAGGATATATGACTAAACCAACCTTGACTTGGCCACATCCACTGGCATATTGCTGATGGCATTGTAGCTGGGATCGTGATGTATGGTAATTGTAAAGATGGCACGCTTGGCTGGCTCATCATAGCAGGGGAAGGCGTGACGGGCATCGGTGCTCTCGAACTGAGTGGTGGCCAGGTATTTGGTAGCACCAGTCTCATCAGTGTACCGGGATAGATAGAAGCCGCCATTGTCCAAGCGCAGATTGCCCGTGTATTTAATGGTGAGCAGCCAGATGGAGTCCTCTTCAAAGGTTAGACCCAAGGCGGACAGATGCAAGAACTCGCGCTCTTTATCCTCAACGATGTCAAGTGCCACATCAGTTGACTCAGCTGCATCACTCTTGCGGATTGTCGCTCCAAGAATCGCTAGTTGTCGGGCATGCACCACAATATCCGAGCTGGTCTCTAGAACTTTCAGCGTGATGGTCACAGTTCCTTGAAATTCAGTCGTGCCATCGTGCACATTCGTGGTTAGATCGATATTGTACTCTAAAGGCTCCGTGTTATTGGGCAGCCGATAGGTCTGCTCATCAGCGCGTTGAGCCGCACGCAGATTGGGATTCTCGATCAACTGCTGCTGCAGCCGTTCGAAGGGCGGGAACTGGCGGACAACGGCCGCATGGGTGGTGGCCAGCACCAGCAGTAGGATCAGGATCGGAGTGAAAACGCGAGCCATGTTGTCTGCGGTGCGACGACAGCTGGACAACAACTGAGCAGCGCTCGCTGATTTTCCACTTATAAACCAAATTGTTACGGCAATCGAGGCAGATTTTCAGTTCGCACTTAACTAGTGTAGCGCATCTTATCGGCCGACAAGGCATAAAGATTATTTTAATCACCTGCGGCTGCCTCTAAAACGCCTTCAAAACGATCAATTCAATTTGCTGGCCAATAAAAAACACCGTAAATAATAGTAACGATCTCAGGCCAGAACGCGTGCGCCTTGGCTTTAAGCCATAATATCGCTCAATACGGTTGTCAAGTGCCCGAGTGGGCAGTGGACTGGCTGTTAGCTAATTAGATAACATATCGAGTGGACGCCAGTTGAAAATGGAGATTCAAGCGGCCTTTGTTGATAGCAGAGCTCTCATTGTGATTTTACCATGTCATCTACTGTGTCTCTTATCAAAAAACTTGTTAACATACAAATGCTAAACAGAGACAAAAATTAATAAGCATTTTTTGCTCTGAGAGCGGAACAACTTAATTAATGGCCTTATGATAACTGATATTTACGATTTTCAAATGAATTTTAAAGTTCCGAAAAAAAAAAGTAAAGTCACGAGGTTGTCAAAGGTTAACTCTGAAGAAAAAATAAAAAAAACACCCAAAATTCTCTGGGAAAAAGTACTCGACAATAATTTACCCTATCGATAGGTTTGATCTCGACTACAAATGGGCCATATAGATTGGCATTGAAACTTTAGAAATTCCATCGAAAGCTTAATGGAAAAACATTCGTAAAATTTGGTCGGTAATGATATTAATGATAATGTATAACAATAATAATACTTAGCGTACCTAGAATCATTCAAAAAAAAAAAAAAAAAAAAAGCTTAAGCAATTGAAATTAATCTTAAGAGGTTGCTCAAATAAAAAGCGAAAACATATTGAATGATAATTTATATAATGATTTTGAAAAGCTAATAGAGTGTGCTTAATAGAGAGTGTTTATAGAGTCTATATCTTTCTAGACGTTACATGCATTTATAGAACTACAATCGAACAATTTTACAGAGTTAAATTATGACTCTGACCTCACGAAGTCGTCAAATGAAAAGCGCAAGGCTTATGAGGTTCATAAATATTTTAAAGTATCGCAATTATGGCCGAAACATGAGATGCACATTTGGTTATGACAATTGTATATTGGCCTTAGCCAGAACTATCGCGGCTTTATGAGTACTTTGTAAATAGCGATAAGATTGATCAAACTCAAGTGCTATAAACTCAAATTTCCGATAATCATCTCTAATGAATCTAAACTGTGATTAGCACTGCAGTCCGCTGAAAAAGACGTAGAAAATTTCACCACTGATCAAAATACGTACACCAATTTCGTTATGGAAGGGGAATCACGTCGATTTATTTTTCTACTTTAATTCTTAGAGATCGTATTTCAATTAAATCCATGATATAGCAGAGATAGCAACGCTGCGAGCACCACAAATAGCGAGGCAGAGAGGGAGCTGCTGCCATTGCGGCGATAGTCAGCTAGCCAACCCATTATCGGCTGACGATGCACATCCAACCAATCAAAGTTGCTCTTCATGGCGTTCTGCACACCGGTTTCGGTGTTATCTTTGAGATACTCTGCGCCATTCGCTTTGATTTTGGCCACCAGCGCATTGAGCTGTTAGGGAAATTATTTTTTTTCAGAATAGGAAATTGGAATTTGGAAGAAGCAAAAAGCAGAGTTTGAACTTACTCGATTCTTCTGAGTCTCGCTAACCACTGATCCTGCTATACGGCGCAGTACGTCGTCCAACGGTTTCTCATTGGGATTCAGATCGCCATATGCCTTCCAATTGGCATCCAAGAAGTCCAGGCTAGCAGTTAGACCAATTTCGCCTCGTGAGTGGGCGGTATCTAGTAGACTGGTGCGCTCAAAGGGGCTCAGAGAGTTGCTCATGTCGAGGGAGCTTTCGAAGAATTTCTTCAGCTGGCTGGCATTCTGCAAGCAGCCCAGCGCAGAGATATAGAAGGAGCGATCGCTACTATCCGTGGAAGCGAACAGTGTTTTTAATACCAAATCGAAGGTTGTGTCTTCGGCCTGACGCAGTCCGGCGCAATAAGCCTGGTTTCTCAATGTTGGCTCGATGACCACACCACCCTGCAGATATTGCTGCAATTTCGTGTGCGACTGCTTATAGCACTCGGTACTGCCCACCTGGCAGGCCAGGCTCACCAGAGTCACGCGCAGATAGTTGTTCAAATAGTGCTCGCCGGGTATTTCATTGACGCCCAACTTGACGAAGATCTCCTCGACCAGTTCGATCACAAACTCGCGGAAGTGCGCGTAATTGGCATCGCCACGCAGATAAGTATCGTATATATTCAATATACTATTGGCTGTCGACCAGGGCGCATATTGATACTCATTGCGCAGGTATGACATCAGGTCCAACAATATGCTATGGCTGATGCGACCCGTGTCTACGAAGCGGTACGCATCGTGCATGAGCTGTGCGCGATTGCGTGTGTGGAAATCGTAGGGGCGATCCCTCAGACCCTGTGCAATCAGCCGATAGTTTTGCTCATCATACAATATGCGATAGAAGCCAGTGGACTGTTTGTTGAGTAGCAACCAATCGGAGCTCGCAATTTTGACATCGCTTATTGTGTGCTCCTTGGCTTTGGGCAGATAGTGCGAGGCCTTGGTTTGGCGATAGTCGGGACTCGATGCAGTTGCATAATTGATGGGCACATACCAGGTATCCGTGTTAACGGTTGTCTTATTGTTCAAAAAGCGTTGCTGCGTCACGCTAAAGGTGCCAGCATCATAATTACGCTTCACGGTCAGCAAAGGGAAGCCCACCTGCGTGGACCAGCTGGAAAAAATGTCAGCAACGCTGAAGGGCAACTTGAGGGACAGCTCGTCGGCCGCGCTCTGCAGTGAGGCAAACAAATCCCATTCGTCCGTCGAGTTGAATTGACTGAAAAACAGATGTGTTATACATATTGGTATTTTGGATTAGATATCATTAAAAAATACTTACTGTTTTTTTAGATACAGTTCCAATCCTCGCCGAAACACGGCATCCGTAAATGCATTCTTGAACATATACAGCACACTGGCTGGCTTGGCATAGGAGATGGTGCCATATCGGTTGGAGATCTCTGAGGGCGTTTGCACGTAATGCGACATGGGCGTGCTCAAGGAGGCATCGTTGATCAAAGCTGAGAAGTAGTCGCTCACATGGAATATCTGATAGGTGTCCCACTCGGGGAACGCAATATCATTCGATTCATACGAGTAGAGGGTGGCGAAGCCCTCCTTAAGCCACAGATAGGTCCACCATTTGATGGATACCAAATCACCGAACCACATATGCGTATACTCGTGTCCAATTATATTGGCAATGTTCGTTTTCAGATTGATAGTCGAGTTTTCCTTGGTCCACCACATGTACTGCTCCCGATAGGTGGCCAGGCCCCAGTTCTCCATGGCTCCGGCTGAAAAGTCGGGTATGCCCGCCTGATCCAGTTTGGGCAAAGCGAACGGAACACCAAAATACTTAGCCAAACTGGATTCGACAACAAGGCCAGACCAGAGGGCCCACTCCTGTTCGCTCTGCCTGCCCTTGCGTGAAAAAACGCGTTGAGGCAATCCATTTAGCTCGCCGCCTGTGGACTCAAAGTCTGATACAATAAATGCTATCAAATAGGTGGACATCCGTGGCGTTGTTTGAAATACGGTGATGCCGGAGCTATCATAAAATCGATATTGATTAATTAGGAGAACGATAATGTTATCTACTTGGCACTCACCTCGACTTGGCCACATCCACTGGCATATTGCAGATGGCTGTGTAACTGGGATCGTGGTGTATGGTGATCGTAAAATTGGCACGCTTGGCCGGCTCATCATAGCAGGGGAAGGCGTGTCGGGCATTTGTGCTCTCAAACTGAGTGGTGGCCAGATAGCTGAAGCAAAAGTCAATAATAACCAAAGAAAACCAATTACAAGCCACAAGAACCTACTGTACAGCACCGTTATCATCAGTGTAGCTGGATATGTAGAAGCCGCCCATATCTAAGCGCAGTTGGCTAGTGTAGTTGATGGTTATCGTCCAGTTGGAGCCCGCCTTGAGGGTGTCTGTGTGCGTAAGGATCAGAAACTCGCGTGTCGTTTCGGTCGATCCTACCACTGCAATTGGTTGACTCGACAAAGAGTCCTTGCTTTGTATGGTAGCGGTGAATTCACTGATTTGCCGATAATGAAGTGTGATCGTGTTAGTATCCTCGACAACTTGAATATCGATCTTCACGACGCCATTGAAGTCTCTTGTGCCCTTGTGCACTTCCGTCCACAGCTCCACATTGTAGGATATGGGCACCGTATTGTTTGGCAAGCGATAATTATCCACGCTGTTATTATCCACGCGCGGTTCAATGTATCGAACTAGGCTTTGATCTCCTTTAGTCTCCAGCTGCTTAAACTCATCAACTGGCGGCGAGATGAGTCGAGCCTGTTGACTCACCGCAGCCAACAGCAGCAGCAGCGGCAACGAATTTACTATCCAGCGCGCCATGTTAAGCGCCCTAGGGTCACGTATACGTATATGAAGCGGAGACTGGTATGGCCTGGAGTACTTATAGTAATCGTCATATCTAATCTAATATTGATAGGCGAAACACGAAATTAGCTTATTGCCCCAAATAGTTATGCCTATTCGCACGGTCGATCGTAAAGTTAATCGAATGTCCATCATTCATGCAGCTTATCTCTAGACATGGTCTATAAATGTTGCCCATTATTGAGTGCTCAAAAAACATTAAAAAAAAAAAAAAAACAAAAAACTTGTTAAATACCATTCGCACTTGTTAATTTGAAAATTGGCCATTCACTTACTAAATCAAAATAAAATAAACTTGAATGACTCTCAATTTTCAGTTACTTAATCATGTATTTTATCACGGAGAATGCCATGCTTGCATCATTGACCTAACTGATTACTAAATATACATAGACTGTAAGCCATCGACCGTCAAATTAATTTGATTGTTTATTTGCAAAATTTAGAAAAAGAAGAACCTTTCTGGAGAGCCTCTGATTATTAGAGAAAGAGAGAGAATGGAATACCGAGAAAGATCTACAAATTAAAATATTCCAGGAGTTAGTAACCATTAGAAATTCTTAAGAAATGCTGGGGTTGAAGAAAAAAAAACAAAATCTATTTATCGATTATTATCGATAAAATTATATCGGACGAGTTACTGAAAAAATATGATAAAATTGTACTGCGTATGGTATACACGACTCTACAGACGGAGTGGGAATATATACTTTATGGGGTCTGCGATGATTCCTTCTGCCTGTTACATACTTTATATATATACCAATTATATCCTGATGATTTACAGGGAAGGACGAGAGCAAGAGAAAGAAAATTAGGTAAATCTACATATTAAAGTCAAAGCGAAAAGCTTGAACCGTGAAACAAAGAGAGAGAGAGACAGAAGATGAGCAAGATACAAAAAGAAGATAGCAGGAGAGCAGGAAAGAAAGGAGCGGGCAGGGGCAAAAGAGCCTGTATAAAAATAAACGAAAGAAACAGTCTGACTGTATGAATAAAAAAAATCATCTCAAAAGACAAAAGGCGACAGGCCTTTAAAAATAAATAGAAGAGAGATTCTGACTGCATGAGTAGAGAAGAGCCATCTCAATAAAATCCTCATAAGAGGCCAAATATATAAAGGCATATTTTGATTATTGTTCTACTTAGGTCAATTTATTTAGTTAACTTTCAACTTAGATATTATGCTTAATACAAGTGCTAAAACTTCAGCTATACGCCGATCGCGCTGCGCACAATGTTGCCAGCCGCGCTCAGTAGACTCGTGGGCCGAGCAGAGCCGTTGCCCACGCTAAAGGAGGCCGCATAGGTGTCATCGCTGCCAGCTGGAGACAGTTCCTTGAGCAGCCACTTATGTATTTGGTGCTCGAATTTATCCAGAAACTCTTCGCTATTACGGATCTTTTTGCCCACTCGCCTCGAGTCTACCGGTATTAAAGGTTCTTTGGAGCTCAGATGCTCAGCCCGCAGATACGCATCAATATTTCGATGGAGTGTGGCGAACTGAATGGTAAAAGATTTGTCAATAAAGCTGAATATAAATAATATTTATGTATAAACTTACGTAGGGCCTTTGACGCTCTGGCACAAATTCGGCAATATCATTAAAGAGAGTCACAAAGTGAGGCGATCGTGCGAGCTGCTTATAGTTTTGATTAATGAAATGCCAGATACTCGAGCGTGATGCCACATTCGATTTGAATGCATAGGCTAGATAAAACATGGATTCCCGCTCATTCAGCAAGTTATAGGTAAAGTTCTCGCCCACCAACACATTTAGATAGTGATGCATGCGGCGATGATTTCGCGTGCAGCGCAGCGAGTAAATCATGTCGTCGTGCATGGCGGTATTTGGGTCCGTGACAATCAATAAATCGATGAGCTTCTGAAACTCTTCGTCGCTCAACTGTCGCACGCCCATGCACAAAATGGTATCGTGTATGGCATAATAGTCCGGATAGTCGCTCTCGAAGTTGATGTTCTTGAAGACGTACTCGAGCACCAGACGATGCGTGTAGTCGAGACACTCCGGCATGTCCACACGGCAAGCCATGTTCAGGATATCCGTACGAACCAGTATATCCATGGTGACCACCTCTGTCTTATCCTTGTGAAAGAGACGCAGAAATGTGGGCGTAACCAGGCGACGCACGTACTGCTTGAACAGAGAATAGGCGGTGGTGCCATACAGATTGTTGTCGAAAAACTCAATGGTGTTGGCTACTTGACTCCAGGGCGTTAGATCGTCCTCGAACTCCAAGTACTTGAACAGCTCAAAAAGCACATCCACCGATTCGAATTCGTTCCGTTCGATCAGTGGCGCCAGATCCTGGAAGAGCGACGCCCGATTCATGGCATGTATAACCGAATGATTGCTCTGCAGCTGGCGGGCAATGGCGTGCAGATTGTCCGTATCATAGAGCACATGGTAGAAGCCCGTCTGCTGCTTGTTGACAATCAGCCAGTCGCGGCCGGCCAACTGCAGTCGCAGCTCCTCCACAGTCACCGTGTGCTCCATTACGGGTGGCATAAAGAATTCGACATGCGTCTGCTCAAAGCTGGGCGATTGGGTGGTGGCAAAGTTCAATGGGATCCACCAGTGCTCGGTCTTGGAGTGTATGGAACGTTGTCTCAGTGTGATCGTATTGTTTTCATAGTTCCGGATGATCGAGACAATTGGCAGCCATTCGCTGTGCGTCCAGGATAGCATGATGTGACGGACTAGGTGCTTCCAGTGCTGGTCCTGGAACCGTGGATCCTCCAAGACAGCCACTTGGATTGAATTGAACAGATCCATCTCGCTGACGACGCTGTATTGGCTGAAAGAGCGTTAAACTTATGGCACATCAATTGAAATTGATCAGTTCAGTGGCTCCCATCCGGGACTTACAATGTCTTCAGATAACGATTAATGCCCTGTACAAAGGTCTTCTGGTGGAAGGCGTGGTGAAACATCTTGATGACGCAGGCGGCACGCTTATAGCTTATAATATCAAACACTTTCATAATCTCGCTCTCGGTTTCCACATAATAAGTCATTGGACGCACATCGAAGAAGCTGCTGTAGCTATAAGCGTGTTCGGCTTCGTCTCTGTTGAAAATTTCCATCACATTGTCCTCGGGATGAAGCTGTCAAAGAGAAGTCTATGGCTTTACACTTCACATAATTAGTAACATTTTTGGTTGCTTACCAAGTCCGTGATTACATAGGAAAAGTAGGTGGCCAGCCCCTCGTTCATCCAGACGTAGGACCACCATTCCGGCGATACCAGATTACCGAACCACTGATGCGATATCTCATGATTCTGCATTACTTTGTGTTTCAATGTCTTATGCTTGTCCGCATCGTCTTGCGACAAGAGGCTGTCGTCCCTGAATGTGATCAGACCCCAATTCTCCATGGCGACACCTTGATTCTTCTTCAGCGCCACGTGATCCAACTTGGGCAGCATGTAACTAACGCCAAAGTAATCCTCAAGAGCTGCCACGGTGAGCACAACATTCTTCAAAGCGGAGCGACCCTTGTCCTTGCTGGTGGGCGACGAATAGATCGACTGTGTAACACCTCGATATGTCTCCGAGATGTGATCAAAATTGGATATGACAAATGCCACCAAATACGTTGACATGGGCGGTGTAGTCTGGAAAGTGGTTGTAGTCAGCTCGCTGCACTCAATAAAACCGCATTATAACTACGTTACAGAATTGAAACTCGATTAAAGCAGGACTCACCCATGATTAACCAGCTCCTTTACGGGCATATTCGAAATGGCCGTCAGGCTGCTGCTGTGCGTCAACCGGATGCTATAGTTTGATTTGAAGGCTGGCTCATCATAGCACGGCATGATTAGCCGGGCAAATGTTGGCTCCGATTGAGTGGCCGCCACATAGCTGTAAAGAAATAGTTGAGCTAGAGTTTTCTTTTCTATCTTGACAAAACTGTTTTAGTTCATTCCAAGCTCTTTGATCTTAAGGCTTTTCAAATAATTTCCTCAATTTGTAATATATCAAATCAAAACAAACAACGCCTTTTACTCATGACGATTCATTAAGAGAGCAACAAAAATAATAAATAATGCGCCAATATATGTATATGTATGTATATATATTATTATTATATATACACTTTATTTTGTGAACTCTTTATCGGCGGCACTAGCGTACAGCTGTCATCGTCGATAAGGCGCAGCCGCTGTTTGTTATGGTCACAGTCATGCCCCTTTATGATGAAACCGTCAAGCCATTCGGTTAGTCTGTTTGTTTACATGCAATATGAATGACGAGCATACCGAATATGAGTACTCTAACATCGATAAGGCCACGCTTGACGCAGTATCAAGAAGTGAGTATACTTTAGATAAGAGCGTCTGCCCAGACAGTTACCCTGTAAACAGATCTTAAGTGACTAACTGAAGAGATTTTGGAATTCATGAAAATTTATTGCTCATTTAATATTAAAGCCAAAATCTAAAATTCATATCTCTATGAATGTGAAGTCTCCTTACTATATTTTTGTTTATTATTATTATTTTTTTTCAATTAAGATCTTTGCTTCTGTTTATATTGCTGCAACGTTTGATAAGACTTTTATTTCGAAAGGGGTATGAAAAGTGAGAGATAATTAAAGCAAAAACAAAAGCAAAAGTTAACTGGACTTGATTATGCGTACATTATTATCGTTTCAATTAAGTGTTATGATTATATAATAGCCTAGCACGCGCGCGTAGTTATAGAAGCAATACTATAATATATGAATGTAATATATTATATACATATATTATTTGTAATTAATTAACTAAGTCTGATCGCAGCTTATCTAACCGGAACTACAACAAATGGACCTAGACTACGTTTACTCACACAGTACGATTGCTGGGAGGCTCCTCCTCATAGGCCATCCAGTAGAGGCCCTTGGGGCGCGTGCCCATCAGACCTGTGTAAGTGATCTGCAGTCGATATCGCTGTCCGGCTTCGAAGGCCTGATAGTCGACGCGCGGATGGACGATAAGGAATGTGGCATACGGATCAAACGTGTGTGTAATATCATCCACAAGTTCGCCCAGCTCCTCGGGCTTGGCGTTGTCTAGCAGTCGCAGTGTTATCTGAATATCGCTCAAGTTCTTGGCATGGACCACAATCTCGTTCGTCGACCGCCTAATCTCAATGTCTATGGTGGCGTTTCCGGCAAAACGCCATTCCCCTAGGTGTATGTTGGTGCTAATGTGCAGCTGATAGCTCAGCGGATATGTGTCGTTGGGCAGTCGCAGCGAGCGCGCCGGCAACAGGTGACGCTCTTCAGGCGCCACTACTTCAGTCCCCTGCGACAAGCCCGGCGTCGATGCAAGCAGCAAAATTACCAAACACGGCGTCAACATTACGGCAATGTGATTATGCGAACGTACACGTTGGCTACCGAAACTCGACTAAACTTTTGTCGTTACTGAATTAAAAGCATTTAAAGCCTACGCTGATAAGATAAGAGCTGATTGATGATCGACGTATAAGAGCGTAGCCACCGCTAACAGCTACGTCTTATACGCTTCGAGGTGAAATTATGCTCTCGCACTTGCTCTTGAGACAGGTCAGTGCACAATCCTGTTTCTCCTGAAGTACTCTTTTACAGAGATTGATCTACACTCAGCAAAATTCTTAGTTACAGCTAATTTGAGATATCTGTTTAAATTTAATAAGTATGTTTACTAAATACAATTCTGATAGAATTTTGTTATTTAAAGCTAATTTTAATATTTCTCAGATTCTGCGTATATAGAATATAATACATACATTATATACATATATAATTCTTTTTTTTTATTATTATTATATTTATTATATAAAATGCTGATTCTCCTTATATAGAATATTCTTATATACAGAGACTACACTCTGTGAAATTGTTAGCTATATCTGATGTTGATATTTTTTCGTTAGCTATTATTTTAAAATATTATATATAAATAAATTGGTATTACATTTGAATTTGCTTTGAGCTAGAAATTTTCTATCATAGTTGATATTTTGTACCATTAACATTAATTTTTCTTAATCATATTTCAATACATGATTAAGAAAGTGTTTCATTTTGCTTCACTATATTTTTAGCAGTGTATGTTTGAAATAATTTCTTCTTCGATCGATTTGACACGATTCGGCGCTCGCCAGCTTCGTTGCTTAGCGCACGATCAACTTCTGGCTATAGACGGCGACAGTATTTAGCATCGAGTTGCACAAACGAGTAGTTCAGTCAACGTTTCGCTCTCTTAACGTGACAATGTCTACGTACCGCTGCTCTCAGCTGCTGTTGTTATGCGTTTTGCTCGGCATATGTGCTATGAGCTATGCGCAAGTCTCCGGATGCGCTAAGAATGGACAGTATGTGAGTATCGAAATACTATAATAATATCGATGAATAATATATATGCAACATATATGCCTGTTTTAGTGTCAAATGCATCGGCAATGCTGCTCTGGCAGGTGCATGACTTATACCTACAAGTGTGCGCCCAGGGTCCCGCACATATTGTACAATAACAAAGATAGTCCAACGGGTCTCGACTACCTACCTGAGTTCCATCGCAATAGTGTACAAAATGATCTTGTTACGCTGAACGATATATACAAGATCCAATCAACGGAGAAAGTGGGCAACGCTCATGATTCATCCAATCCTCCAAGCAGTGACAGTTGCTTGTCCGTCGGCCAACCCGTAAGTGGATTGTCGACTTACTAACTTACTTTCCCCTCATTTGTATATATACATTTATTTTCAGTGCTCAGAAAGCCGTCAATGCTGTAGAAAACGCTGTCACACCTATCTCCATAAGTGCGTCACATAATGGAGCAATCTGATGCAATAAATCATTATTTTTATATGTATATACCGCTTTGTATTACATATATGTACATGCAATGTATTAAAATGAATATTTCATTTCAATAAACAACGTGGCATTCTATGCTCATTGATGAAAGAGTAAAGGGAATATTGGCTTGCGCAAAATTCATTCAAACAACTCAAATAATTTTGAGACAATTAAAATTGAAATTGTGGAAGAAATCAACTAATAATAACTATAAAACTAAGCACGTAAACCTTTAGACCACCCTAATTGTCACTCTTATAGCTACATAAATAAAATTCTTTCTACATCTCAATGGCATTAGTTTCGAACAATAAAAAAATTTTTATTTTAAATAATTCTAAGAAAATATGAAAGCAAAAAGTCAAACATTTAGCAGCTGGGGGAATATAGTCTGTTAAAATATAAAAAGTTCATCAGGCGCCATCGACTGCAGAATACTCATTAAGGCTAAACCCTACTAGGAAGGTTGTAGTAAAGATTAAGATAATATATGCTGATACTACTTGCTAAGGTCTATCCCCAAAGTTATGGAATTGATAGTCTTGCTGATTATCACGTTCACAATGGGCGTAGGACTTATATTCTATATACATATGTATTCCATCTTAAGTTCTTTTGACAATAATAATTTGAAAATTACAGGTCTCCGATACCTTAAGTAAGAGCTCTTTGGTTACACTAGACTTGGTAGATATAGTATTTCTCGATTGACATGCTTCTACTACAAAATTTAGTTAACATTAAACCATGAAAAAATCAAAGGCATAATATATATAATATGTAATTATGCCTTTGATTTTTTCATGGTTTAATGTTAACTAAATTTTGTAGTAGAAGCATGTCAATCGAGAAATACATATATATATATATACATACATTATATATATATATACATATTATATATATAAGTAAGCGCTCTTTGCAACTGCATTAAATATCTTAAGCCATTTGTTTATTTTCATGCCTTTATTAGAGGAATTATATGAAATACCAACAATAAATAAAGATATTTTACTATGAACACAACTGATTAATGTTAAAGTTTAAACTCAATTGCTTAGCGGTCCAATCAGACGAAGCCCGCATAGAAACGCTGAACGTGGAATTAATTAAAAGTTGAATCATATTCTACTACACCTCAGTATACAGCGAAAATTTCCAATAAGTTCATATAATTAATTCTATTTTATTGAAATTCCCAAATTTTAGTTTTATTTTTTTATTTTAGTACACACTGTTATATCGAGGTCATCATTACTTTGCGAATAAAATGATACAAATCAATGGAAATTGATTACTTTTATCATGTACGCAGTATTTGTAGGGGCGATTCGAAACAGTTCAAATAGACCTTGTACTAGTGTACACTCACACTCGAGTCACCTGGCAATCTTAAGGTCAAGCATCAGTCCAGCATTGATTAATATCTACACAATGTTATCTGTACCTGGTTCGTTTCGTTCTGCTGAGTTTAAATATTTGCCTAGTAATTTCACCGAGGAGAATATTCAATTATCTCGAGCTCTTGACACAAATGTTGCCAATTGCTTGACTCGGGCAAATAGCAAATAGAGAGTCATGTTAAACGAGCTACAAACCTGCCAATTAATTAAGGCCCCGGGGTCAACTGACTAAGAAATTGAAAACCCACTGCTCTTAAAATCAAGCTTCACTCCACTGGCCACTTTAGTTCACTTCAAGAGTAGCAAGAGACGACCCATCAGGACTGCGAAAAATGATGCCGATTCTGTTGATACTAATGCTGCTGCCACTCCTAAATGCAGTTGTAAGTGATACTCGACTTGCACCATCTGATTGACTTGATTGATTCAACAGTCTTTTGTTTGCTCGCATTCAACAGAGGGTTGTTGAGGCTCTGCCGCTCAATGCCACAGCGATCAAGTTGCCGCTGATACCGCCAAAACCGAACACGGCTTCGGTTAATCCGGAAGATGTGACGCTCTTCACAACCATGTTTCTAAATCTATTCAAGGGAATCGGAGATTGGCGCAATCAAGTGGCCGTCGACACCGTTCAGAGCGTGTGGCAAAGTCCGCCTATAATTGACTATAGTCATCGCATTTTTGCCACTTAGCCGGCAACTGTTTGCATTGAACTGTTATTCTAGTAACATGTGCTTTCAATAAATCAACAGGAAACAAATGTATCTATATAATGAAGGCCTATAAATGCGCGAATTAGAGTTGATTTTAAGTAGTGATCGATATGGAATTGTCAGGGCGTACACTCTTTCTGGCTCTTCTATTGTGCACCTGTCTGACCATAGCACTCAGCCAACCCATGCCTTACGAAAGACGAACACTAAAGAATTCACGTGGTCTGGTGAAAGTATGATCCATAGCAAGCTAATTCGTATAAGTTGATTATCTAGTGATAACATTGCAGAAAAATGAGAGGCCAACTATGAAGAAAATTGAGGTAATGGCAACGAAAGCCGATATACCTCGTGTATGTACTCTCTAGCAAAAATACTCTATATAGAGCTATACATAACTTTTGTCCCTTTTAAGTTTCTGCGCATAAAATTGATGGACAATTGCCTGGGCACTGGCAGGGACTGCAGCCGATCCGAAGAGTGTTGTTCGCAACAATGCTTAACACTTGCTAAAAAGTGTGTTTTTAAAGTGCCAAGGGAAGTCCGTGAAACCAGCTGAGAATAAATCGCATCGATGAAAACAGTTGCTCATCACTCAATCAAAGAACTTGAAGAGCAAAGCCTTTCTTTTGCAATAAAGACATAGACATTAATGGCATGAACTTGATTTGTGAGAAAATAATAGTAAAGTGGCAACATCATCAATATGTACTGTCTCACTCAGTTTCACCCCTCTCCCTCTCCCATCCCTCTCTCTCTCTCTCTCTCTTTCTGTCTGCCTCAAATTTTGTTGTCGTCAGCATTCAGTCGACTGGCATTAATAAACTGTATCAACTGACACGCCCATCAAACACCCATTGACAGTAATGTGAAATGAAGCACAATCAAATGGCAGCTGTGTGTGTGTATGTGTGTATACTTGAGTTAGCACACTCACACACACATACAGCACACTCGCTTATACAACTACAATACAACAGTATTTCCGCCAGAATCGTCATGTAAATTTTTATATTCATACACATGCATCGACACATACACTATACAATGCGCGCCCTTACTGACACACACACTTGCACACACACACACATATCGGTACATGCACACATATACCACACACGTACTATCTCGAGTGATCCATTTTTCGCGCCAAACCAAACACAGGCAACACAATGAATTTAGACAACAATTGTTTCGTTTTGTTGTCGCTGTTGGTGTCGCGATTGTTGTTGCTGTTGCTGCTGTTGTTGCTGTTGTTGTTGTTGTTGTTCATGTGTTAGTGGGTTCTATTGTGTTCTATATCGGCTTATTCAGTATTACAATAAATTTCAGGTGTTTGGTTGTTATTACAGCTGTAATATGAGAAGCTTGATTAAATGACAAATCGATCTAAAGCTGCAATTAATAATTAGCCGAGCATCAAACAGGCTAAATAGGGTGATAGGTGGATAGGGTAAGCCTCACACTAACATTATCATTTTTATTTGCATGTATAGAGATTAATATCAATATTATTATAAGTGCATTAATTTGAATATATTTAAATACGAGTATTGAATAGCTTTACAATTTGCATTATTCTTAGTGCTAGTATAATTATTTATATTAATATATATATATATTTTTTATTGCTCTTTGAATTACCTCTAGTAGCAATTTTTATTAGCATTAGTAGTAGTATTAACATAATTTTGTACGATAGTGAAAGAACCGTATGCTTACAAAAATTCATCTTCCAAAAATTTCATACTTGCGTCTTCAAAATCTAACGAGTTGCTCAAACATAAGATCTAAAATTTGTAACTTTCTCCTGTTAGAAAATATAGGCCATGCTTAAACAAACATTTTCTTTAGTTGAATAATAATTTCCTTATTTATTTATAAATAGATAGGAACACTGAAAAACCATTAAAGTAAATAAAATATAAAATAAATAAAATATTAGATTTGGTTCAATATCGAGTCCATAGCCGAAAAACTATAATAAAACGGAATATTGAAATTTTATTTTGCAGTTGGCGTGGCGCTCATAGAATTCGATTGTACATAAATAAATGATGTTTCGCCAATAATTTATTTTATGTAGCTGTACGTGTTGGTCGTGCACATACGCTTGGCACATTTGCATAGAAATCGCATTCATAGCTAAATTGTGGGCTCCTCTCGCAAAGGGGCGATGGCGGGGGGCGAGGTGGCGAGAAGGTCGTGGGCCACTAAGGTAAATAAAACAGCAGTTCGTGGCCGACAGCCTCGGGCTGAGCACGTGCTTCAATTTAGTGCCTTGGATACTAAGGAGCTGTGCTCTTTACTCGACTTATTATTATTTTCTGCTTATTTTCCGAGTTTGAGGAAGACATAAAATCTGCGGAAGTGTTGAGCACATGCACTGAAAAGCTCTTCCACCCGCTGCCAGCGCCGAGTCGCATCATAGCGCGCGATAAGAGAACACCATGTTTGCAGGGTAAACAGGTTGTTTTTTTTTTTTTTTTTTCAAGAGAGAGAGAGAGAGAAAGATTTTTATTTTGGCAGGCGGGCGACCAAACCGGGAAATCACTTTTCACGGCAAAGCTTTTCCATCGAATATCGATTGCGTCGGCTCATCAAAATTTCATATGCACAATCGCGTCGAGTCGAATTTCATACGCTTAAGCGATTCGCCTTAAAGTATGCAGTGAAGAAAGTGAGATGCGTGCAATTTGTCATGTGCGGGGGAAGTGCTTTCCCCATCCCCACCCTCTCCACACACACACACACAACTACATTTTATTGGGTATTGCATTTGACAGTCGCTGTATGCATGTGTGTGTGTGTGTGTGAGCGTAGTATGTCTTTCCTCAATTTTCGTTACTTTTGTGGCTTATGTGTGCGCCGGTGCATAAAACTTTTACGTTTAGCTCTCAGCAGCAGACACTTAAATGTCGAATGAATAATTTCGCTCGCCGCACAGCCCAAGTAACCCAAACAACTCGACCACCTCAAATGAAACTTTTTGCCCGTTGTTGTCAGGTGGCAACTGGCTACAATTTGATGCAAGAACTTTGCTTAGTAAGTGCGCACAATTTCCCCTTTGCCATTTGAAAAACTGTTTAATTGAAGTTGCTCAGCAAGTGAGCTGACTCTGTTTGCAGTTCTAATTGATGGTATGCTAGCTATGGTAGCTAACATGCAACGTAGCTAAGACAAATGTTTGAAAATTTCGAATTAAATTAAAACAAGTTATTATTGGTTTTAATCTAGATTCCATATCAAATTTAATTTGCAAATTTAAAAGACATAAATTTTCTAATTGATTAAGACCAAAATATTTGAAAGGATATTTAATATAAAAAGGCATTGAAATATATCTAAACAGTTGAGAAATATTATTTTCTCCCAACTTAGTTTGACGCTTGACGAGTGCATTTGACCTCTGATAGTTGTCTTGTAATTGAAGTCAAGAAGCCAACGTACGACTACTTGTTGCCAGTGCCATGGGCTGTGTCCAGGCTCTGGGCAATGTCAACATGACCTAAATGAACTTTAGCTTCCGCCTGGTTATGAAGCAGGAAGCGTTTGCAGTGCAATGAACCGGGCAGCGTGCAAAATGCAGAATGTATTTAAATTTGTTATGCTTGGCTAGCTTATCAGCAATGACCTTCATATCACAACCCAACCACAAAAGCTGTTGGTTCAACAAACAAAAAAAAAAAAAAAAAAAAAAAAAAGAAAAAAAAGTGCAAAACAACATTTTTACAAAATAAATGACAAAATGCTTAAAAGCAAACTGAGCCTGAGTGTTTGTGTTTGTGAGTGTGTGTGTGCAAGCATATAGGAAAAACTTCCGTTTATATTTGCACATGCCCAAGTTCTGGCTCGCACATTGGACTTGACAACAGTCGACGTAAAGCAACAACAAGCCGGAGTTTGTTGAACTGTTTCCTTTCTTTTTTTTTTTTGTATATTTTTTAGCCGCATTCTGTGTGGCTTGCCACAAAAATTGATTTTAAACGTCACGTTGCCAAAAGCCGTGCCAATGGGGCTTACCGAACCGCAGCTTAAACACAAAAGGCTGCTGCAAAAAAGCGGGAAAAAGCCTGGCACGAGCGAGATTAAGTCAGATATAGGACTAGGCCTTTCAACCACACATGGGACATCAAATGGCAACTCATTATGCGGCTTTGCGGGGCTAAAAACAAAGAGAGGACGCCACATAGCAAACGCGCTAGCACACAGCAAATCAAAGCGAATGTCCATCACCATTATGAGACTTTCAACAGCAGACTGGCAACATGCTTGCAAAAACACGCACACACAGGCCCACACATGCTGACACACACACATACCTACACAGGGCAAAGTGTCAACGGTTGTCGCTTTGTTTGCCAGCTGCGGCTTTGGCCTGGACAGCGAATGGCTTTGAGCATTCAAACGAAACTCATTATATGGCATATAAGTACTTGTACGGCCATGCGCTTTCCCTTTTTCTTTTTCCAATCGAAAGCGCCTCTGAGATTTCCTTTTGAATACCCTGTGGACGGCAAACTCAAGTGAAGGAGGTTTGATTGGGCTGTTCATGTTTCTGCTTGTGAGAGAGCAAAGTAAAAGAGAAAAGAACTAATGAAAGGGTCAGGTATATATACGGTATGTCGGAATGTCTGTCATATATTTAGTATGGCATTATGTATAACATATATGTGTAACATACATATACAGTGAAGTTCGGCTATAACGACTCCGCTTATAGCGTCCGTATGTTTATTGCGAGGAAAATTCTGGTACCCAAGCAAAGTTATTTGAGCAAACTTATATGGTTTTATTTATATCGACGGTCCCTTAAACCTATATAGGTAAAGGGCAGTGCTTTTACACTCAAATTTATTTATATAAAAATTTTATGAAAATCGTTTAGCAAATATGCAACTAAAATACATATTTATTTATAAGATATTAAAAAAAAAATAAAAATAAATATATAAATAAATAAAAATGTTTTAAAAGTTAGCTAAGTTATAGGATATTTACAGAAAAAAAGTTAATAAATAAATAAAAAAGTTTAAAACGTTATATGAAAATTAAGAAAAATAAAAGAAAAGCTATGTATAACAAATTTAAAATAAATGTTATAGCTAAAACTTTAGTTGGTTCTCAAAGCATTATAGAAACTCTCGATATTCACCTTTTTCAACTGCCATAAAATACATATTTAAGTTTAAGTTTCTATACCTGAATTCGCACAACAGAATATGCTTGCGTCCAGCACTTTCGGCTTTATACCGGCAGCAATTATAATATAAATTTTGCATGCGCTTACATTTACTTTTATCAGACTTCTGGCTTTGATGTTCAATAAACAGGCCAAGAGCTGGGCAAAGTATTATTAAATAAGTGCATTAAAACCGGACCCAAAGGTAAATGGAAGTTAAATTTATTTGCTTTTTTGGCCCGAACTTTTAATGCAATTTAATTTGGCCAGCTTGAAGAGTTTTTAATTGGATTCGAGTCACCTAAAATGCATGTACTACAGAAATTTGCATATGTATAGCAAGGGGAGTTTATACATAGCGCTCATTTTGGCGCCACATTCAATTTAATGAGCCATTAAGCAGTTGCGCCTTGGCTTGGTCACTTTGGCTTGTTGAGCTTTTGCTTTTTTCGCCTTTTGTTTATTTTTTGTTAACTTGCTGTGTTAATTGAATTGGCCCGCAATGACAATGTGAAGCGTGTAGTAACAGCCTTTTGTTAGGCCATGGACCAGCCATTGAGTGTACGTGTGTATGTGTGTGTGTGTGGGTGTACTTCAAGTGCTCGGGTCAAAAGTGCTTGTTACG